CACTGCATTACCTGGCATTCTTAACAGATCATTTTCTAAACAGAACAGGTGGTTTTACTGCCAGCAAAATAAAGATGTCATATTGTCACATATAATTTTTAGAGGCAAAAAAATGTACCACAGGGATAATTAGTCTCAYCCTCCCATGATTCCACCTAAGCAGCTCGTGAAAGACTGTTGTGGCAACATCGCCAAATGTCTCTAGATATATAAATTACACACATATGCCTATTTTTGTAAATGAGATTTGGGAATATCAGTAGCAATTGCACGGTGGGAATATTTAGCTCATTTCAGAGGTTGTACTGTACTTGCACTGCATGAATGTCCCACAGCCCCAACACAAACGTGYCTGTATTTAATCAGTATCTGATAASCACAATATTAATTTCCCTTTYACCTTAAGTGCTAGGAATATAGTTTTTATCTCTTGCCCAATGTTCTGTAGAACATCYAGTTCCTCCCTCAGTCTGCATAAWTTTTTTTATAATCATGAAGCACACTGCAGCCAGACACTTTGCCCTCCTTTCCTTTTCTTTATGCAACAGATTTGGGATGAAATTCCCCACTTTTCCCTCAAGCCAGGGCTAATTCCAGGACCAGAATGATTGTTTTATCCCARATGTGTTGTTCTCAGGGGTGCATTCTCAGCTGCTGCCATCCCAGGTCACTCCTCCATGAAGTGMTGATAGTGAATGTCCCTCTCATTCTTTTATCTATCCATCTGTAAGGATGAGTCATTGGGAAGATCCTTATCAATGTTTGCCATTATTTACAGTCCCACAAATCAATGTTTGCCATTGTTTACAGGCCACCATTGATCCCTATCAAACAGCAGGGGCAGACAAGTTGTGTTATGTAATTGATACGAACCACCCTGCCAAAATGCAGATTCCATTATTGGCATGTCTTCCTGCCTAAAAGCCAGAAAGCTCCATATATGAGCTGCTGTCACCTTGGAAACGTTCGGAAGGGAAATGCCAACTGCCTGTGCAAGCACAGTATGCAGCCATATAGCAAACTGAACTGGCCAGCTCTGCTGCCTTCCCAGCTGATCCTGAGGTGGGACTGAAGGAACTTCACAGAAATGTCTCTGAATTTCATCTCTTGGGAACAAAACAGCAGGGGTTTAATTTATATCTGCTCACTCCATTTCCCAGTTTCTCCGAGATGGATCACTGGGGTCCAGAGCCCACAAAATCTAGAAGAGCTGCATCAACCAAAGACTTTTTTTACATTTYCTGGAGCTTAAATTTTAAAGATTCACTGGCTTTAAGTTGATAGACATAAGTTCTGGATTGGGAGATAAGAACTTGGCTGGAGAGCCATAATTTCCTTCARAGAAACTGCAGATATGTTCTCTCTTCTCCCATCTATATGAAAGATAAAAATCTACATTGCCTTTCCTTAGAAACACATTATTCACCTGATACAATATCATGACCCCTTGTTATTGTCATTGTTGTTATGAAAATAATTCAAACAGTTGTAAACTGGGACTGAATAAAYACCCTGAATCAAAACATCACAAGAAACTGGCAATCAGTGATATTTCCAGGTGTTCTTCTGAGTGTTTCMTTAAGGGGAAAATCCATGTTGGATCTTTTGCATCCCAACTCAAGGAGTGTGGGATCCGGCAGGTTCAGAGTTAACACAGTTAGAACTATTCCAGATCTGCAGAGAGAGCTATACAGTTAATCACTGCATATTTTTAGCCTACATCTTGTAGCTTTAATCCTGCAAATGTCTGTATGTAATTTGTTTTATGTAATATGAATAGATGCCATAAAATCAAGATTCCACCATTTATAGAGCTAAGAATGTCCGTGTATTTCTCAAGACTGAGGTCCTTTAGCATAAATGTGGGACAATGAACTGGTCACTGTGAGTAATTTATACTCCACACTATGTGTGCCAGTGGAAATAAATGCTCAGATTAGCAGCATGTGCTTGTTTGCCTGGGATCAAAACCTAGACCTTACTCTCATAGCAACTATAACAATTACAGAAATATTGCTTACAATTAAGGAACATTTCCAACTAAATAAATCTGAGAATGCATCTGTCTCTGTGTACAGATCAGGGTGTATTTTGGTGTGGATGATGTCCCAGTGTTTTAATAACTGAATYCCTTTGAATAGCTGGGTTTCTCTGGCACGTCATTGAGGCCTAGTGCCAAGAGTGAGAGAACAGGGATCTGCTTTGCTGTGGATCCAGCTGCACTGSTCCTTGACTTTGTCAAGGTAATACAAGGAACAGAACAGAAAGGAAACCCAGTTAATTACCAATTTAGAGCTAAAATCACAGAATCATRSAACRGYCTGGGTTGGAAGGAACTTAAAGCCCATCCAGTTCCACTCCCTGCCATGGGCAGGGCGACCTTCCAGGGTCCCAGATTGCTCCAAGCCCTGTCCAACCTGGCCTTGGACACTTCCAGGGATGGGGCAGCCACAGCTTCTCTTCTAAATCTGTCACCTAAACACTGGATATTGAACAGACAGGCTCAGGAGATTCTGCTGAAGAACAGAGTATTCCAACTGAGTCATTTTACGAACACAGACATTCACTATGTAAATGACTGAAATATCATCTAAAAACTTTTCATTTAGTGATTTTGTGCATATTTATAATAATTATAGAAGTGCTACATGGAACCTCTAGAGCAGCAGTTGCTACTGAAACCAGAACTTTTCAGAATGTGACATTATAAATGGGCAGCATGAGTAGTACATGATTTCTGCTGTAATAACCTTTAATTAGTAACTAGTGGWGAAATCCTTTTGTCAGAATAGTACAGGCTTGCTTCTGAAAAGACATTTAAGACAGCTTCATTTTTGGATTGAAACTTGGAAACCTTCAGCGTTCTAATGTGTGCTCCAGTCCCAAATCCACAGGACTTCGTATTGGAAGCAAAAWTTATAAATCTAGGAAAATAAACACCAAGCTGAAAGGTCACTGAGAATGTCTCTGATTCTGATTACCTGAAGTCRCCTGAACTAGATGCCCCAGACAGGTAGAACAGGGGTCACGGGTGTTCCCACGTGGGTAATTATTGATGCTAATGCACTGGAATTGTTAATGCCACTGTATTTCCAAAGTGTAAATCATTCTTTCAGAGAACGTGTCAAAAACTCACAGAGCTGTGTAAACCTTTTGCCACCACACCCAGGCAGGCGCCGTGTCAGTGGTTCATAGTTTAATATACTCTGCTGAGAATAAATAATAAAAAAACAACCGTATAATGGGAAAATACCTGCTCAGATCTCAGGGACTCAATAGCCTGAACAACCCAGGACTCCACCCAGGGACACCGGCACCCGGATACCRGACATCAACCCACTCACGCCGGTACCCCGACACCGGACAACGGCTCACGGACACCGCACCCCGACCCAGGGACCCCGGACAC